GATCTACTTTATTATATAAATGTACATGAACATGCTTAGCAGCATAACTATAGTCTACATATATACCTTTTCCCATATATATACATATTTCATATGCATACCATACATGCACACAAATACACACACGTGTATGGTGGATTCTATTGACTGCTTTGGATTTTAAAGTGCCATATGTGTATTTATTCATAATGGTACAGACCATGTATATCCATATACACATGGCTATGAGAATAATAATCAACAGCAAAACATACCAAATGTAATAAGAAGAATGTCCAGAGGCAGAGCTGCGTGGTGTCATCCTCGCACTATCAAATACACACATAAGTATGATTGGAGAAAGAGAACCTAAATATTTCACTGTCACAGAATGTAGAGAACGGCAATTCATTTCTATCTCATGTGCTTTAGGACAATGACAATTTAATACAAGGCCAGTGGATGTAAAAGAGATAAAAACTGAACAAACTAGGCCAGTGTAATCAAAGATTTTCTCCAGAGAGCTGGCGAGGGCTGGAGCTCATATGCACTTATAACAGATCAACATTGCATTGTTTCTCTCGTCCATGAATTTGCTATGAAGCAAAATTCAGAGCAACGCTTACTGGCTGCAATGACTTGAAAGTTCTATTGTGATACCTCGAATCAAATTCTGTCCTCATATTTCTAAATGCTTGATACGTGATTCTCAAAAGTTTATTGGATATTAATTGGTTTGATAGAAATCACTGCTATTCATTGCCACTTGTATGACAAAGTATCAACCAAAAGCACAGGTTTTAATTTCTTTTATGAAATAATAGAAGCAAAACCTTCAGTGCTGAACAGCACCTTAGAAGTAAAACAAAGGAATATTTTGTTTAGTCACTAGGCTAAAACAAATGTTGAGGAATTTTTCACAAGTGATACGGACTTGAGATTGGGCATTATGCCTACCCTCCAAAAGAACGGTCTCTCCTTTGTCTGTAGTTCTCGCAGGAGTGCGGTAATGTGAAAGTATTGTTAAATAGACTCATAGAGAAGTTACCTGCCCTCTTTGATGAATAGCACCATGTATCTAAAATTAATTGCAAAAGTATGGCCCTGCTAATGAGATGGACCTTATCTTTTTTCAGCACAGGAAGCACAAGTATTTTTCTGCTGGCTCAATATTTTACAAAAATGCCTAAAGTATTATTAACTAAGTAAAAATCTGATTAAAAGACCTCAAAGACACAAATTATCATAAATTCTAAGATGTGAAAAATTTGGAGTTAAAACTGATGCCCTGCATTATTTTCTTTTTACGCCTTCATTTCCTTTCTCTTTTACTTTGAAAAGAACAACAAAAAAATCTTTTCTCTGGCCTCTATTAGCATTTTGTAAAGCTTAGTTACAATACCATTTTTTATAAGATGGCCAATATATATTACAGGTCAGATAAATCAAAGAAATGTATCAAAGGCCATCGATTTAGAATTAAAAAAAAAAAAAAAAGCACAGTGATACCTTATTGGGGGGAAAACACTGGAAAAATGATCATCCATGCAAGAGAATTAATGGATATCCACAAGGGCTTTGCTAATAACATGGGTTAATTACCGCTGCAACACACTAGGCTCAGGAAATAAAGCAGCAGTACTAGAAACACATTAAGATGAGAAACCATCACTATAAGGACCAGCCAACACCGTCACCCTTGCCTCTGCCCAGGAATTGGAAAGCTGTTTTCCACCCCTTTCTGTAAAAGGAGGATTTCCAAACTTACCACCAATTGTGTAGAGGGTTATACATAAATACATTGACACAAAGGGCTGGTGAAACATGGGGTGCCATCATCTACTCACCACTCCCATTCAACATTTATTCCATTAACTCAGGAACACTTTCTTGTTTACTCCAATGAGAAAATCACATGTTACATAATACATACTGTCTGGCTATTTTGACCATATAGCGTTTGGGATATGTACAGTGGTTATTAAATTTTTAGAAAAATAGCATTAATCTGTATGCTTTAGTGATGTGATGGGCAAGGTTACAAGACTCTACAGCTCTGGAACACTCGCCCCTAAGTGCAGTTGGTTGTCACTTCCAGCCATTTACAAAGAAATCCTCTGAAAACCACACCTACACCACCTACCTTTAAGGCTTCAGGTGTTTTCAACAGATTTATAGAGACGAAACAGGAAGAAAAGTAATATGAGCTCCAAGTCTGGAGTTTAAGTATCCTTTCTTAGAAAAATAAACTTAAAGTGTCTGTTCATAGTTCTCAAATAATATCACATTTAAAGAGACTTAGGCAAGCTCCTATTTTTTTTAAAAAATTGCATCCATTCTGATTTAGGCTTTTTGCTGTTGTTGTTACTGTATAAATTTTTCCTTCCTGCCTATTTTTATCCTATATATTTTTTATATTATAATATTACTTTTGGATAGTTGTATTTCAATTTACTCTAGCTTTTCATCAGGCGAGATGAAGCAGAGAAAAATATTCAAAACTCTGAACCAGAAAGAGTGGACCAGACAAAATGAAACTTGCATAGTTCCAAACAGGAACCTTAAAACATAAATCTGTTTAATTTTCAATGTCTGGATTTCAGGGATCGGGCTGAAATTTACTAAACTGTTCCCTCCTCGCCCTGCCTGTTTTGGAGTGTTTCAATTGCCTTTCCTTCTTCCAACAGCTGTGACAACTGTTAAAACAGTCAGTAAAATTAAGTCCGCTCTATAATCCTGTAGTCAATGTTACATTTTAATCAGAGGTTGAAAGGGACTCATGTGACGAGCACGCTCATTTAGAATGATTAGACTGACACATATGTCAAAATGAGCAGATATATTATTTTCGTCTATTTATGCTATCAGTTATTACTGCTATTAAATGTGAAACAAGCTTGCAAGTATTATGTTCTTTAATATGCTGGCACATCTAAAATAAAAAATACATAGTTACAGGTTAACATTTTAGGCTCTCCTAATGGTGGTCAATAAATTGCACGAATCTTTTTAACAGCCTCGGAAGCAGAAATTGTCCGATATTTTCCTCTGAAACTGCATAACTCTGGTTTCGTTTCCATGTATACACAGACACGTGATGGGGTTTAACCCAGTACAATTACTATGAATATTAATAGCATGTATAAATTCTGTGGTTTATTAATTGAGACAGAGAGGCAGATGCGTTGCTTAGCATTAGATCTTTCTGTCTGTCCAGTGAACCACGTAACCATCAGAACTGCATCCAGACAATAAATCCGTATTTTTTAAAGATGACTTTTAATTGAGCCAAAAAGAAAGCTACTTTGAATCTTGCGCCAAAGCCAAAAGGACATGTGCCCTGATTTCATTTCAATGCATCTGCTTTAAGAGGCTTATCTAAATTATTCAAATTGGCTATAAGAAGTTCAATTCAAGGAAACTACTTTTAAAAGAAGCCTCCGGGGGATTTTTAAAGTTTGTTTTGTTTATTTATTTACAAGAGAAAGTTCAGAATCTGGGTGAGCTCAGATAATGCATTCCTCCTGACATGAAGACATTTTAAACTCTCTAGTTCTACAGTCCCAGGTGCACTAACCTTTAAACTACACTCAAGTGAGCAGTTCTACCTTTGTTTATATTTCATTTTTATTTTCACACAATTTAAGTTTGTTTCTTACTTTGCGTGTTTTAAACTGATGCAGGCACAGCCTTCCAATCTTTCAGTTTCTCCTAAGTCCATCTCTTGGTTAATATCTCTTGTGTGAGTGTGTATGTGTGTGAGAGCATGCATACATATATATACACACACACACTCTCTCACACACACGAGCAGCCACTGAGACGGCAAGCCACTTTCTTCCCTTACTTAATTACAAAGCAATGCAATATGCAGTCACTAAGGGCAGCTAGTGGCCATCTACCTCTAATGCACGACCTCGTCTTCTAGAGTTTTATATTTTCTCCACAATCTATAGAGAGAAACGTTTGCCAAGAGCACTCTTTTCAGAATTATAACAGTTGGTATTACTGTAATGTGAAAGCAAAGCAATATAACTGACTCAACAGAAAGATGAACCAGTGACAGCTCCCGTGATATACTAATATTTTATCTTAACAGTGGGTTGAAATTAAGTTTACGACCTCTTCATTTACACAAGAATGCCTAATTTACTTCTCCTACCCCCTACTCACTTCTCTCTCATCTTGAGTAATCCAAATATATATATATATATGTTTCCATGTGCATAAAGATATTCACAAATATGAATTAAACTGCATTTAAGAACAAAAGTACTTTTCTAGATTTTCTGGACACGATACATGAAATAAATCCACAATCTCAGCATTGTCTATTCAAGGGGAAATTTTAAAAGTCACTGCTGTTTTATCTTTAGTTTTTTCTCTCCTTAAATATTTATAATGTGTGAAAATCTCATGTTACTTAATGGACTGATTTGTCAGTTAAGTGCTGACTTAACGCTAACCATGCAAATAACATTATTCTAGCCCTGAAGTGCAGAGGGCTAGTTTTTAAATTGTTCTCCGAAGGAGAATTAGTAAATGTGCAATTTTGCCTCTAACTCTGCGCGGTCAGAAATGACAGGGAGCTGGAAATATCTGTCAAACTGCAAATACATAAGAGGCACTCACTACGAGAAATCATTTTGAATATTGTATTTTAAAACATCTTTCCTTGGGAAAATGGGTCCTAGTAAAAGATGCGTTTTAACAGTTCACTAAGCATTTGTGCCAAGTGCCTATTCTTAGCACCTGAATAAGAAGTGACTGTCACACAGCTGTTTTACCGACAGCCAACTGAGCTTCGACTCAAAGGTAACACTGTAGTCAGAGAACAATTCTCGACTTGCTGAATTAGGAGCTCACCCTCCACACAAAAGGCACAAGACAGACACCAACAAGCACTCGTGCACGCAACACACCCGGGGCATTACCTGAATCAGTGTGCAAAGACACCTTCTGTCTACCCCCACGCACGCACCCCCGCGACGAGTTTCAAAAGGAAAGAAAAAGGTACCTACTCTTCCTCGTAGTGCAGGGAAAAAGATTCAGGAAGGCAAAGTTCTACCGAATCCATGTGCGACCGGCAACCATTATTTGTGCACCCCAGCTATAAATCAAAGTTTCCTTGACAGAGCACAGTGCAATTAACACAAATGTTCTCCTAGTGACAAGCCTATAGGCACGGCCAGTTGGGACCAAAGCTCTCACACTCTCCTAATCAAGGACTTAAAGCCCCGATTGGAGCTTATTAATATGAAGTAGGGCTTTACATATGCAGTCCCACCGGCCCAGGCGCGCAGCCGATTGGGGGGCCTCTGCCCAATCAGGAGGGAGGCGACGGGAGGCTGCACGGAGCGAGCGAGCCAGGCAGGTAGGAAGGGTGCACAGAGGGAAGGGGGCTGAAAACCGGGAGTGGGAGAGAAACAGAGAGCGAGGCCGAGGGAGATTGCAGCGCTCCCGTTAGAGACTGTTTTTTCTTTTCTTTTCTTTTTTTTTTTTTTTTCCCTCGGAAGCTACCAAAGAAACATAACTAACTTAACTCTCTAAGCACTGGAGGGATTTTTCTTTGGTTTCTAACCTAAGATCTCTTTTGCCTTGCTAAGAAGAACTCACGCAGACTCTCAGTTAATTTGGGAAAGGATTCTGCGGAAGGTAGAGAATTAAGTTTGTCCAGCCGTTGTCTGTTTTATTCCACTGGGGGCTGCTTCTGGTGTAGTGAGGTGCTTTCTCGTTTGTTCGTACTCGTGTCTTTTCCTGTTTTCCTGATGTATCCTGGGCATTTTAGAAATCAAAGACGTTCTTCCAAATGCTTCGGGCATAGGAACTGGGATCGTCATCCCTGAGGTGGAATGCAGTTTTACACAACTACGGAAGAGGAAATAGTGCATCGGGACAATTTGAGAAAATGCCCATGTAAATTACACGTGTAAATATTTCTTTACCTGCTGCTGTCTCTCTACATATCGATAGACAATGCATAGCTTTTCAAAACAAACGTAAAGAAATGTAGGGCAAATTGGCTTTTTCAGCTTCAGAGGTGGGAGACCAGGGGCTGTGGGGTAAAAAGAACATTAAATCCATCTCAACGCATTTTGAAGGGAGAGCATTACTGAACAGTGCACTGAAATGTTCTTAATCATATACTTATTTCAATACAAGCTTCCAAACTGGGAGACATATACAAATATATATGATTTTACCCAAAACATGAGCTTTCGAATAAAATGCAGTTTACATATTTGTTTCTACATGTAACACACCCTAAAGGCTTTAAAAAATCCACTCAGAAACAGTTTGTAAATCATCACACAGTCTGGTCATTATAAGGACTAGTTTCAAACAGATAATAATTTGCAAAACTAAGACTTAATCAAAAGTGTTGTTTTTAAAAAAAGAGGATCTAAGAAGAGAAGGGTGTTTTTCCTCCAATAGTATATAGCGTGCTTTTAGTTTCCATGTAACAGAGTTTTCTTAGGTCCACTTTAAAATACAGAATTTTTTATACTAGCAAATGGATATTGGAATAGATACAAGCTATTTATGGCAAAGAGATAAATGCTACCTTATGGAGAGTTGAAAGACCCACAGTTTTGATATAATTCAGCTCTACTGCTTACCAAGCTTTTGCATCTTGTCTTACAGACATAAATAGTATAATCTTTGAGATCAAAATAAATTAGTTCAGATATTTAGTGTGTGTTAAATTCACTAAATCAGAACCCAACTCTTTTTCTCAACCCTCTCAAATTTCGAGGTCTTTAAAAAACAAAACACTAAAATAGAACAGCCACATTAAAATTCAGAACATAAAAATGACAGACATGATGTGGTCCCGCCAAGAAGAGAGCAATTTCCCTGCCATGTATTTAGCCATATCTAAGATATGGGCCTGATTCTTTTTATTTGTGGTCTAAATGCAGACAAGTTAGTAGATGAGAACTCACATAGCAAAAACTGTGCCTGAGAATACTGTATAAAAGCAGGTAGTAAAAGCTTAATTACCAGTAGCATTATGCTGTCTATATTGTTAAATGTGAACTCTGCAATTAAGATGTAAATTTGGTTGTGAGCAGTGAATTAAAAGAGCTTTGAGATGTAGCAGAAAATCCAAGCCCCTGCAGACACCCGAAAAAAAAGATTTGTCTATTCAATCTAAAATGAGACATGTAATCATTTGATAATTAAAAAAAATAAATAAAAAGGCATTTGAAAAAGAAACATGATTTTTCTAAAATATGATAAAAGACATGGGGAAGCTAATACTGCACTAGAAAGACAGGAAAATATCTTTGGTTCAAAGATTACTCTCTTGATTTCTGAATAAACTAAAATTCTCAGGGTAATTAATGTATCCAATTGTACACATTTTTAAAAGATATACCAAAAAAAAGTTTCCTTTTTATTTTGTCCAGAGACTTTTTTAAAAAAATAAAAATTATTTAATGTACTCAACACATCTTAATGTACTCAACACATTCAGATTTTGCACCTGTGCAGAATCATGTACTGTATTCAGTTTCTTTGCATTATCATGCTGTGACAGAACCCGTTTATTACTCCTTTGAAATGGCTTTTTAAAGACAAGATTTGTAGTCAATTATTTACCGATGGTCCTTAAGTCACTACATTTCATAGGAGTTATCTTTTATTTCCTGGAATTTTCTTATTTCCCTTTGGCTACTTATCTGACCCATTGTGAACCATTTGATTTCATTGGTATATATTTCTAAACATATTTAGACTCATACTCGTGTAAGTCTTTTCTCTGTGCTCACAGAGATCCATGTACAAATACACAGTATAGTCTCCCCTCATCCTTCACTCACCATATTTCATCTATGCAATGTGCAGTGTCCACTAAGCTAGCTGCTTTCTGAATGACCAGAAGTGCACTAGGTTTGTAGAGCTGTATGTTGTCCCCTTGGGATCAATGTGTCACGTCTACAAGTCAAGGACCTAAGATTACACCTACTGTCTTGAATCTAGTTTAACCAATTTAAAATTTAAAATAATATCTACTGCACTAAACTCGTGAGACAGCTTCCAGAATATTCTATAAACACACAGCTTAGTTGTCTCCAGAATCTTTCCTAGTCACAGTTTTCTCACGTTGCAGGAGGAAAGAGTGGATAATCACAGGAAATAAACATGCCAGGAGCAATATTGAGCACACACCTTTAAGAATCTCAACTGCAAAGGATTTGGGAAAAAATAAAACAAATAAATAGATAAACAGCTTAGAATAAATACATATTGCTAATCAGTCTATACACTTCACAATCTTACCACAAGGAGTCTACCCAAAGCAGGATAAATGAAACCAAACAAAAGAACTTCTGATCATTATTTCACAAAGAATATTAATACATTAGTTAGTATCAGTCTATTATACATCAGGTCCTGGGTATACACATAGTTCCAATCTCTTCTTTAAACAATGAGGTCACAAATATCCAAATGACTTCATTCTCAAACCTCAACTAAGGCACAGACACTAAACAGAAAATATACATTTCCATTTGAAAGAATGAAATGGCAACAAACAAAACTCAAGTGAAAACAAACGGTAGATTCCTCTCGTCTATACTAGCAATTTTGTTGTATTTTCCTCAGAATCATTTCCTAAAACATTCTAACAAGGAATTCTTAGGTTGCTAAGAGAAATGCTCAGTCTTGCTGTTATTGCATATTAATAGCTATTTTACGTTCCCACCTTCCTTTTCTGAAAATTATGAGGACTAATCTGTATTAAAATTTTCCTAGTTGCCACACTATTTTTGAAGCAAATTTTGATTTTATATGGCACCTTTGCCATTTGTTAAATATTTAAAACTAAACAAGGTGTCGTCAATTTAGATTTTCAAATTGCCTTGTAATCTACGTTTTCAGATCTTTCCTCAAGATCATAAAACCTTTGAAAAGCTGTTTAACTTTTTAAACCATCTTCCCTACTGTACTATCTTTAACTTCAAAAGAAAACCCCCAAAGAATATCCCTGGAGAAAGAATCTTGAAGGACACGCAGGAGGCCTGACCCCAGGCTCCCTTCTGCCCCTTCACGAGCTGTGTTGCCTTGAGCAGGTCTCCTCACCTCTCTGTCCCTGGTTTCCTCATCATTGAGATTTCTTCTATGCTATAAACCTCCTTAAGAACACACTTTTCCCACTGAGAACATGAAGACTTCTTTCGAAGTCAGTATGCCTATTTTATATTACCCCAAACCTCTATCAATCCATCATACCTCATTTTCTGTTGCCTTTCATTTCTAGGGCACAGGCTTTGATATTTAAATTATTGTCTCGATTGGCAAGAAGCAATCATTTCTCCGGAAAGTGATCGCTTCCGCAGAAGTACTAATAAAAACCTTTCCTTTTCACAAACCTCTTGTCCTATAAATCCATCCTATTCCCAAATTACCGAATCCGTGTAAAAAAAAGCCCATTCTCTGGGGAGCAATTAGCTCACTTCCATACACACCAAACTCTTTTCCCAGTGTGTTTGTGAAAGTAGAAAAAAAAAAAAATCAAAGGAAGACAGAGAAACTAATAGAGGCAATTCAGTTTCTGTTTAATTAATTCAGGATTATTTCACTTTCATTTTGTCAAGCTAATAATATACATGGGAAAATGTGAGTAAAAATTAAATTATAAACTACAGTAGCTCCAATGGGAAAACTGACTTTAGTTATGTTGTATTTCCAACATACTTACCCTGGTAAGATAGCAAATGCCTTTTATAGTCTCCTACAAGCTTTCTATAATCTGCATGCCATGTATTTACAGAGCAATAGTTAACATTTTGAGATTATACGTTAATAAATGAGTTGCCGTTATATTCTTTCCTGAATGTTAAGCACCGAGAGCTAAACACAGAAAACATTCAAGGTCAATGTCCCGTTTTAGACCTTTTCAGGCAGCTGTAATATTATGATAATCAAGCTTAAAATATTCCTATAGAAAGAGTAAATTAGCCTTTTCACTTGAAAGATGATTATGATAAACAATAAACCTAAGAGAGGACAAAATCCCTATTTTTAAAAGCCATAAATTGTTGACTCAATCATGTGTGTGATAGTGTTATCCAAAATAAAGGGTAGCTGAACTCCGAGAGGAGGGCGGGGGGAGTAGTGGAGACAGAGAAGGAGGGAGGACAAATATGACAGATTTCAGAATAAGCAATACTTGCTTTGATACCAGTAAAATGATCAAATTACCCATCTTA